CATTGGGGGAGGTGCTGGAGCTGATGGCATGGGAGCATGTGGTAGCAGCAATGGCGGCCTGGGGAGAAGTGGAGGGGTGCTGGTGGCGGCATTGGGAGAGGTGGTGGAGCTGATGGCGTCATGGGAGCATGTGGCAGCAATGGCGGCCTGGGCTAAGTGGTGGGGGCGCCGGTGGTGGCATTGGGGGAGATGGCGGAGCTGATGGCGGCATGAGAGCACCTGGCGGCAGCAATGGCGGAGTGGGGAGAAGTGGCAGGGAGCCAATGGCGGCATTGGGGGAGGTGGTGGAGCCGATGGCGTCATGGGAGCATGTGGCAGCAATGGCGGCCTGGGCTAAGTGGCAGGGTGGGGGGGGCGCTGGTGGCGTAAGAGAAGGTTTGGCAGTCCTAGTGGCTGCGTGGGGGAGAAGTGGGGGTGCTGGCCGCCGCAGTGGGGGAAGATGGGGTTCCAGTGGCTGTGTGGAAGTATGTGGTGGTGTCGGTAGCGGTGCAGGAGCCCATGGTGGCGGTGGAAGTGGACTAGGAGCACATGGTGAAGCGGCCATGTTGTGGCGGAGAAAGAAGCGATGCAGCGGCAAAAGGGCGCAGGAACACGTGGTGGTGGCGGAAGTGGCCCTGCGTGGCAGAAGCGGAAACGTGGTAGCGGCGGGAGCAGTGTCCTAGGAGCACGTGGTGTTGCTGGTGGGCGTGGGGAGAAGTGGGGACCCGGTGGCAGCATTGGGGGTGCCAGTGGTGGCATAGGAGCAGATGGGGGTGCCAGTGCCAGTGTTTGGGGAGGTGTGGGTGCCAGTGGCAGGGTTGGGGGAGGTGGAAGGGGCAGCGGCAGCCATGAGGGTGGGGGGAGCCAGTGGTTGTGGGTAGGGGTGTGTGTGGCGGGGGTCGAGGTCTGAGTGGTGGTGGGAGACCAGAAGTTGGATACAGGTGTGGGCGGCGTGGAAGCCTGCTTGGAAGACTGGTTGGAAGCAGTTGAAGATGGCTGGAGGTGGTTGGAGGTGCAAGTGTGGGGGAAGGGTGGTGGAATTGAGGCCTGATTGGTGGAAGACTAGATGAGCATGGTGGGGGTAGGGTCCAGACCTGATAGGAGGAGGAGGGAGTCGGGGAGGGGTCAAGGACTGATTGGTGGAAGATTGGCTGGAGGCAGGAATTGGGAGTGGGGAGGGCCTGACCGGGTTCTTGTAAGACCAGTGAGAAGCCAGAGTGGTGGGAGTAAGGGGGCGGTGGAGGTTGGCTAGCAGGGTGAGGGGGCGGTGGAGGTTGCCTAGCAGGGTGAGGGGGTGGTGGTAGCCTGGCCTGGGTAAGACTGACAGAGTGGGGAGTAAGGTGGTGGGGGAAGGCGGGAGAGGTTGATACCTGGTAGATGGCAGACTTACTTACAGACTTACTTAGGGCGGGAGTAAGGAGACTGAAGGTGTAGGGAGGTGGAGGGCCAGTGGGATGTGGGGGTGGTCGAGGCCTGATAGGTGGAAGCCAGGCTGGCAAGCTGAGGTGGGAGTGGAGGGGGGTGGGAAGGGATTGGAGTGGTTAAGGCCTGAGTGGGAAAGGTTTGCAACAAAAACAAATTTAAATACTCACTATTTTGCAGAGCAAAGTTTCGGCTTTAAATTAGGGTAGGGAAGACGCCCAAAGATAACTGCAGAATGTAGAGATGTCTCTGGTTTTGAGTTCTGGCTTTCTTAAGAAAGTATATCTTTGCCTTACAGACATGGACCCGTATGAAGAAGAGCTGCGCTGCTTGCAAGACCCGGTGGAGGACGAGGATTGGTGAGATTGGAAAGTTCTAGTTTAGTCTTACCGTATTGGCAAAACAGCTTTCTCGAGAAGTATGTTTGTTTCCTTTAGTGTCTGTGGAACATATAACTTGGTTTGTCATAAAATGAGAATCGTAAAGAAGAATTTTACAATATGAGAGTCCAGCCTCCTATGAAATTCATGAATCCACTATATAACTTCTCTGTTAGTGGCCAGGAAATAACGACATCTGAGGCAACAGTGCATCGTTGAATATATGTGGTTTCTAGAAAGTTCTTCATTCTGGTGCAATTCAAATCTGTAGTTCCACGCCAGTATTGGTAGTGCTGCCCTCTAGAGGTACCCAAATTATTTTTCCTCTCCATGATAACACAAGGTGTTTTTGTTTGTTTTTAATTTTTTTTATTGAGATGTACCCTCAACCACGAAAGGTTCAGAGAGCTTCCAACATGAGGTATTTGTGTGTGAATGTGTGAGACAGGGTCTGCTCTGTCGCCCAGGTTGGAGTGCAGTGGCGTGATCAGGAGCTATTTTAAGATAGCTGCCTAAGTTTTTTCTCTTCTGGAACACTACCCTGTTTTCCTCCCTCACAGATACGCATGTAAGAGTGTAATATGGGAGAAGATACAAATCAACAGAAAGTCTGGAAATAGACTTAAGTACATATTAAAATTTACTAAAGAAAAACAACATTTCAAATCGATGGGGAAAATACGGATTGGTCAACAAACCGTTTGAGGATAATTGGCAAACCATTTGGAAAAAATAAGACTTGGGTTTTTGCCTTATTAGTTCTTATGCCAATATAAATTTCACATGGATCAAATATTTTAAAATAAAAAATGAAACCATTAAAATGTTAGAAAACATAGATGGATTTTGTTTCCAATAGTTTTGGAGTAAAAAGGTCTAAGTTTGAGATCAAACAAAATATAAATATGGAGAATAAACTGGAAACATATTTGTATTACATATATAAAGGGCTGTTTAACAAAGGGCTTTTATAAATCAGTAATTTAGAAAAAGGTGAACAAACACATGAAACATGACGAATATTAGAAGGTAGCTCTCAGGGAAACAAAATACAAATGGCCTTCAGACATTAAAATTTTTTCAGCTTTGCCCTGGCACGGCGGCTAAGGCCCGTAATCCTAGCACTTTGGGAGGCAGAGGCGGGTGGATCGCTTGAGTCCAGGAGTTTGACCAGCCTGGGCAACATAGTGAAACTCTGCCTCTACAAAAAATAAAAAAAAATGAGCTGGGCATGGCGGCCACACCTGTAGTCCCAGCTACTCGGGAGGCCAAGGTGGGAAGCTTCGGTGAGCCAAGAGTGTACCACTGCATTCCAGCCTTAGCAACCCGACTGGAGACCCTGTCTCAAAAAAAAAAAAAAAAAAAAAAAAGCCGGGCACGGTGGCTCGCACCTGTAATCCCAGCACTTTGGGAGGCTGAGGCAGGCAGATCACGAGGTCGGGAGATCGAGACTGAGACCATCCGGGCTACACAGTGAAACATGGTCTCTACTAAAAATATGCAGGCTGGGCAGTGGGGGGCTGAAACCTGTAATCCCAGAACTTTGGGAGGCTGAGGCGGGTGGATTGCGAGGTCAGGAGTTCAAGACCAACCTGGCCAAAATGGTGAAACCCCATCTCTACTAAAATTACAAAAATTAACTGGGCATGGTGGGGGGTACCTGTAATCCCAGCTACTTAGGAGGCTGAGGCAGAGAGCTGCTTGAACCCGGGAGGTGGAAGTTGCAGTGAACCGAGATTGTGCCATTGTACTATAGCCTGGGCGACAGAGGGAGACTCCATCTCAAAAAAAATCAGCTTTTAATTATATTGCTTCTCATTAAATAATTTTAATTATATTGCTTCTCATTAAATAAATGATAAATCTTATTTTCTTGTTCTCCCACTTGGAAAAGTAAAGAAATGATAAATTTTAAAATGAGATTTCATTTCTTATAAATTTGCAAAAAGTTTGATGATTCCCAGTGTTGGCAAATTTGTGGGAAAACAGAAAATCTGCTACTCTTTGTGGGAGTATATATTTGGTACAACCTTTTTGTAGGGCAGTATGGCAGTATCACATTTTAAATGCCGATGTCCTTTGAAGTAGCAGTTCCACTACTGAGACTTTTTCTTTTAAAGCCATTTTTTCAATTTCTTTATACCTGTACTCCCATACACATAATTGTGATTATATCATACATCTAATTCAGTAATTGTAATTCGGTCTTACTTTTTCTTGACTTCCCCCCCCTCCCCTTCTCCCATGGCCTTTCTCTCTGCAACCCATGCTAAATATTTATGTAGCTAGCCTTCCATACTTTTTTCCATGTTCACATAATCATATATAGACATTTACAGGTTATTTTGGTCTTTGTTCACTTTTGTGGAAGGAGTACATACCAGTATAGAGAAATATGTATACGAACATTCATTGCAGCACTGTGATAGCACAAATTTGAAAAGAGCTAAAATGTCCTAAGTGTCTAGTTGAATAAATTATGATTCATTTCAAAAATGTGGTAAGAGCTATATGTACTGATAATGGAAAGACTACTAAGAAATATAAAGTGAAAAATGCAAGCTGCAGAACAATCCATGTAGCATAATATTTGTAAAAAAGAAGAAAGGGGGCCGGGCGCGGTGGCTCACGCCTGTAATCCCAGCACTTTGGGAGGCCAAGGCGGGTGGATCACGAGGTCAAGAGATCAAGACCATCCTGGTCAACATGGTGAAACCCCGTCTCTACTAA